AAAAAAAAAAAAAAAAGGACAATGTAATAATAATAATAATATATTTGGATACTCGTTTAACATCTTTGTACCGTCATGATAATATCTCGAAAAAAAAAAGAATATAAAATACATATAATCTTCGATATGTGTAATAATGGGTTAATCGCATCATTGGACTCCCAGCGCCTTCGTCGACTCCCACTGTCTGCAAGTGATTAAATAAGTCTATTAGTGAAATATGCAGGACGTCGTTGTACCTAAATAGTGTAATCATGTGTAACCAAGTACATGATGAACCGAGAGGTGTATTGACTAAAAAATGACACAATGATGCATTGACATATTTTTTGTAGTATGGGAATGTATTACGTGACATACCACTCATGTCTCTTGTGACACGTACGGGTATTGTGACCTGACCTCTCACCACACGTCTTGCATATACGTCTCTTTTTTACGGATTTTTCGATTGCTTGCTCCTTCATGCTTTTAATCCTCTTTCTACTACCCTTGTTATTTGTTTTGGTCGGGGGATGTATGTTCAACTCCTGAGGGACCGACGTGCCAACGAACATTTCGAATCGATGATTTTTTGTCCCGATTGGACCAACTTCTTGTTCAGTCGTCAACTTGTGCTTGTGGTTTTCGATAATTTTTGAAAATTCAACAAGTCGGTCCATGGATGTTTCGACCAACCCCACACATAGATGTATGTCAGACCACAGTTTATTTACCATGATCTTTCTATCATCAATTCGAGCACACTGGTCAGTTATACTGTCAACAACACAAAACATTGGATTCAAAATGGCCGTTTTAGTCCATCTTGATAGAATGTGTGCACTCGGTATAACTTCAGCATTCACGTCCTTCAATACAACAAAGACGTGTCTGCATAGCCACCCATACATTTCAAAATGCTTGCATGAGAAGGTGGCTGATTTCAGACTGACGTTGTATAACACCGTGAACGTCCTGCCATCAGAATCTCTGATTTCAAATTTCATATGTCCATCGTCATCCGTGAAGTTCATAACGCGACAACGGAAGCATGCTGCACATATTTCGGTTTGAACAATATAAAATATGGAAGTTGTATATACATTCAGAGCATGCTTTTCAATAGCCAACGGAGTTTTTAAGTCAGTCATGTGTGTTTCACTGTCCGATTGCAACGTCATTGATGTGTTTCGTTGCGCATCCATTGCACTATCAAAGTGTAGAAAGAATTCGACCAGACTAGCGTGATTGTTCATGAAATATCCGAACCAGTTATTCTCACTCTCCGACCTAGACGTGGTTCTCATTAGCCCGCTCATTTTAACACTTCTGAAGAATGCCGGAATCCAAAGTTCTCGCTTTGCATACAAATCAACAAACCAGCTGTGGGTTTCCAATTCATACTCACGCATGAGTTCAGTCCACCGCGCCTCAAATTCTGGTGGTTCTATTGTTCGATCCCAAACAAGTTCGCTAATTCTGGATTTGAAAGCACCCTCATTATGCAAACGATGACTACCTTATCACATAATTTTTTCATTATGTGCCACGTGCAAAAACGATGCCTTGCCGTGTTAAATACCTTAGAAAAGGCGATTCCAATTGAGGGATCTTGGTCTGTTACAATATATTCTGGTTCCCGAGTCATGGCGGCTTTGAAATTTTCAAACACCCAAACATAAGAACCCACGTCCTCCTTCGATATCAAAGATGCCGCAAAAGTAACACATCTGTTATGGTTATCGATTCCGGTGAAAGGAGCAAACACCATGTTGTATCTGTAAAGATAACTATCAGGTGTTAACATAAGGTTCATCCTTGTATAATATTATATTCATTATGTATTTATGTAATGTGCAATCGGATAGGATATTTTTTGCATCTAGAATATGCAAGTTACCTGTTGGTGTTATATGTGGCATCAAATGTCACGACGTCACCGAATGATCCATAATTCCGCCTCGAGATTGGATCTGCCCAGAAAAGTTGTTGCAAGCGTTCACCGTCATCTACTTCGTAACGAAAGTAAAATGCGGCGCTATGTTCTTGTCTCTTACAGAACTTGTCGATAATCAAATAGGCGTCTGCTCCTGAAATGTAAGCAAGGAGATCTCGTTTGTAGTTCTTGAAATCCGTGCTGCTGGCACCAATACCAGAATATCCTCCCACAATTTCTTTGTACAGATTGTGTGATTTGACAGACCCAATGTTTGCCTTTATACAATTCAAAACAAAGCTTTGATGTCCTGCATTCATGGTTCTATTGATCTTAAGATGTTGTCTGCATTCCTCAGAAGTCACTGAGTGATTATGTCTATCCTCGAAAGAGCTGACCATATACCCACTGAGCCCATCTACACGCAACACTATCCTCGCAACACAACCCACACGGTTGGATACTCGTCTCCTTCTTATGTGTCCATCGGGTGGGTTTGAATGGTCAACATGTGTATTGCGTTTATAACCCTCTCGCGAGCATACCAGATACTTCCAAAGTATAGTCTTATTATCACGTGCTTTGATCAACGTGCTCTGTCGTATATCAAAACCAACAGCATACGCATACGCTTTGTAGAAGATTACTGCATCATCCAACGTTTGGAACTTTTGCCATTTATAAGGTTTAAGGTGATCATCACAATGTGGTGTCCAATATCTAGTTCCACCAAGTGTGATTGATAACTGCTGACGACCCGTATATGTTGACGGTGTTCCTGTGTATGCATTCGATATGTTCAACATATTGCACAATTGTACTTATATTAATGCACATCAACGGTATAGCGAGTGAAAATTATAGAATTAATATAAGAATAGAGAATATATCATATGAAAAACTATAAACACAATATGTCAAACACATAAGTTAGTTGTCAATCACTCAAACACATACATAAATCTAACAGAAGATATATGTCTAACACATAAACACGTGTAGAGGTCAGACACATCAGAGGTATACAATAGTTTTACTGGCCGTGCACCCCACTGTATTATTTGCACAATAATGTTCAGAATCTTGCACGAATCATCGAATATATTGCACATTACACGTACCATGACTCATTGATTTTATATGCAGTATAAAAGTCAGACATTGGTCCATACCTGTCTGAGCAACATTCGATTCCATCATCATGCGCGGTGCAATCGTATGAAATTAGTTCAGCTTATGTTCTTCAAGGTGCCTGAAATTTTCAATTTGTAAAAAAAAAAAACAAAAAAAAAAAGAGATGAACGGGACAAATCACGTCATATATTCACAAATCGAAAGGTTTTAAACCCGACGAATAGGTTGAATTAAAGCCATAAATTTGTATAACATACATACCTCGATTTCGATTTTTGCGCTAACAGAGGTCGATCACGATGCGGATGCGGATTCACGAGTTTTTGGATTTCGATTTCGAGCTTCGGTTTTTGGGAGTTCGATTTTGAGATTCGAGGTTTAGGATTTTGTCGTCGAGCTTGGAGGATGGGATTCCGATTTTGATCTTCGAGATTTGTTGAGCTTTGAGATTGGGATTTAACGTCGAGATGGAGCTGGGAGGATGGTGTGCAATTTTGGACTTAATATCGAGCTTGGGGATGCCGTGTATACCGCAATTACCAGTTTGCCCCTCTAGTTACGTGAAAGTAAGTTGTTGCTGACCGCCAGATG